TCTTAAAGAATTGTTCCCTTTTTCCCATTCTCTTGTGAGCTTTTTACTGGTAAAATGACTAGTTAAGGTAATTTTCTATTAACCTAATTCTGCAGGTGGTTGTTTGTACTGAAACAGAAAAGCTCAACTCAGATGTAACAAATATTTGTCAACAGGGTCTTGCTTTCTAACCATTGTTGCAGATGGATTGACAAAGGGACCCCAAATTCTCAAATGATTTTGCAAGGCCCCGAAATCAGAGATGAGCTCTGCACAGGAACCAATTTATTGTGTTTTATTATGCCTTTATTCTGTTCCAACCATTACAGTACACGGCCTCCCTATGCCACTGCGTGCTAGAACAGAAAGTATCGGAAGAAATGTTTTCTTTTTTATGTTACCTCTGTTCGCAATTAACCTATTTCAGTTAGAGCTTGAAAAAAGCCTCGAGGCCAAAACAGTCCATCAACTTCTTCCTTTCCGATTAGTCTACTCCCTTTTCATTTATTACAGAAGAAATACGTAGTAAATGGGTGGATAGCTAAAAGGACTCAGATTAAAAAAATACCAGGAATAAAACTGAAATTTCATGGAATACCAACGTAATTATAATTTAAAAATAAATTGTAAACTAGACAGATTTTGAGTTTTACGCAGTCGTATTACAATGCAGCTTCTTTAAGGCTGCTTATATTTTTAAATGAAGTTTTTTAGAAGCTGTACATAGTGTGCTTAATTTCATAAAGGGGTTGAGTTCCTAATGTTGCTATGGAGGAAAATAAGCTGATGCCTCGTCAGTGAATGAATTTATATATAGATTCTGAGTCACACGTGTGGAGTGCCTGCCAAGTCTACCTTTAGGCTAATGTCAAAACTAATCATGCCTTCATGTCAGCTTTTCAGTGGCACATGAATCACAACTAAATTCATGCATCACATGAATCTTTCTGCAAGTTCTTAGAATACTGTTTGGCTGTATATTTTATGATCTTTTTCCTGTTCCTAACGCAGTTAAAACTGCAGTCCTGACGCATTAGGTTCTTGGAGAAAGATTTTTAACGCTACGGATGCACACTTCGACTCGTTTTCTGTAAGTGCAAATATCTTACTTGTTCATACATGCTGTCTGGCTGTGTGATTCAGCTAGGCTCAGGTATTCCAATGATTGAGAGCCTCTGAAAGTCTAGTTTTGTTGCCTGTTCAAAACGCAGCGGCAATTAAGTTTACCAAACCAAACTTGTGCATGCCACATAAAAACAAGCAATAAGATGACTGTTCCTGGATTAAAACTAGTGAACAGTTTATCGTTATGCTCCTAAGGAAAATGAGTTACGATGTGCCTAAACTACCAAGTGAAAACAATGGGTGCAGCCACTGTCTCAGTCCAAATGGTAATTTTATTATGCGTGTAAACAAAACCAAGTTTTCACTGAAGGATATTACAATAAAGGCATGCAGAGAAGTGCTCTGCCAGTGATCTCCCAGGTACAGAATTTATACCGTTCTGACTATAATCAAGTAGAGCTGTTTACTTCCCTTACTTGGGATACCCTATGTAGGGTGAATCCCTGAGAAGACCCCTCTTTGGTTTCAACTTTCCCACGTAACAGGCCACCTTCCAGATGAGAAAAACAGAAAGAATCTCACCCAGCAGAAATTTCTTTATGCCTTAAGGAACTGTTCTTGAGAAATGCCAATCGCTTCCAAACAAAGCTCAGTATTAAGAAAAGAAATGAAAAACCAAACCAACTCTAATACAAAACCCACAAACAAATTATTTTGTGATCGAAGAAGAAATAAAAACATGCCGATTGTAAAGATAACTATGCAATTCATAATGTATAAATAATACATCAGGTTTGAATAGTTTAAAAGTAATTTAATACTCAGTTCATTTTCTTTATTCGTAATGCGTATTCCAAAGCAGCTCAAACACATTTTTGGTACCCAGGAGGTCATTTTCCATGAGCAAGCCTAACATGCTACGGAGAATGAATGGGTACGTTTTTTGGCCACAGAGGGCAATGTAAAGCTGCCTGGGTTTATCTTTACCACCAAGGCAATAATTCAATCACTTGATTTCATTTTTCTCTCGCTCTTAGACCAGACAAAACCACAAAGAATCAGTTTAGTGAGACACATTGCAATAACAAACATGTCATGATCACTTTCTTCATCATATTTGTTAGGAAACAGTAGTTAGTTTGCTTACAACAGGTATGTTCACAATTTTTTATTTTTACCTGACCAGTTGCTTTTTAGGGTCTAGTATGTTCAATAACTTGTCTGCATATACCTTCTTAGAAGCAGTAAAAAGGATGATCTATGGATTAAAGGGGAAAAAGTAATTATTTTAGATAAAAGTATATGAATATAATTGAAAAATGAAATTCAAAGGTAATGTCTAATTTTTTTTACCTCATAAATCTGAGACATACGTTCCAGGAATTCTCGGAAGAATGGCCTTAACCGGACATAAACCTGAAGCAGAGATGGACTTTATTAAAGATTCAAAATACTTCAGCTGTCACCTGCACTACTAAGTATCAGTTTGTAAAGATTAGGTCAAAATGAGCATTATGAATAAAGTAAACAGCAAATATTAACTTCCTACAGAATAACAACTCAATTAAAACAATATTAAATTAGCTTGCAGCCTAAGCAGCTATAAATGAAAGTGTAAGATGATAAAATTAGGCTTAATAATTTTACTGGAAAATCTGATGGAATTAGAAATTATTTCAATTAAAATATAAAAGTTGGAAAATCTCTAAAGAAAAAATGAAACTGGTTGCTTTGACTAAACATTCTGAATCAGCTTTCACCAGCTGGGCAGCATCAGTTCAATTACTAGATAATGTGTGCCAGCACATAAACTAAATAATCTTCTTAATCACCTTCCTCCACTAAGAATTACACATTGAATATGGGGGTGTCAGAAGTGATTATAAAAAAAAAAAGGCTTCAGCTGTTTCCAAATTTCCATAAATTCAAATTCCACCTGCACAGAACTGCACACATACGTGAATTATTCCCTGTAAAAAACTGGACTCGCGAGAAGAGATACCAAGTTAGGAGACTTCTGCATCTCTGCCTGATTTAACTCAAAATACAAGACTTGGGCTCACGTGGAGGCATCTATATAAATCTGTAGCTTCAGGGCAATGGCCCAACACCACGGCAGATCTGAGGGCACATATCGAGCACTGTTCTATTCCTGTGGTACAACATTCCAATTTGTATTTGAATGATGGCCTGGTGTGGTGTTTGGCACAGATCGGACCTGACCTAAACGAACAGTGATGACACACGCTAAGGGGTGAAAATGACAGCCTTATGCTCTGCTTACCTTTCCTTTTGGTTCAGAGATTGCCCACATACAGAATTACAGTTTTGAGGAAAGAGTTACTAAAATATCCAGAAAGAGAAGGGAGTGTACTGAATTTCTTTTAATTTCAACCAAGGTAATTTCAGCTTTATCAATTTTTTAGCAGCCAGTTAGGAATTGGCTTAAATTTACCTTCAAATCACAGTAAATCTTCACAAAGCATTTGTGTTACTTGAACTGAATTGTATCAAATTTATATGTGGACACAACCAAGTGACCAGAGGGGAAGAAAAGGGGAATAGTTTAAGTGAATACAAAATTTCGTATTGTTAGCATGTGCTGCAATAGATCTTAGTCCTTTAAAGGAAGCACATATTTCTAAACCAATGTGAATTTCATTATTTAGCTTAAAATTTGGTAAGGCTTTTACTTGTTTCTTTCTTAAAGTGTCTGAAGTTCTGACTTAAGTTTGCAGAGTGACCAGTTTCTACAGTAACACTTAAGTTTTCATTCTGTCTCTACACTGGGAGCAATCATCAAAAGCAGACAATCTTACCACGTCTGGTAATAGGACCTCTACTTCTAGCATGTGAAGATACATTCGTTGACTACGCAGACGATGTCTACTTCCCTTCTCATTCTGGCAAACCCACATTTGGAGGCAGTAAAAAAGTGTCCCTCAAATCGGCTATCAAGAACGATTCGGAGAGACCGCAGCCTGTGCTTGACAGGTTTCTGGGCTGCATTTAGCCAAGATAACTACTGAAAAGCCAACTTCCTAAATACAGAGTCGACAAGCGTGTCTTCACACTACGTCTCCTGACGGCACTAAAATCTTTGTGGAAATGACACCTCATCTTGCCATAATAAGGTACCGAAGTTTTGCTCAAAGACTAGATGACGTGTTTACCTTACCACAAGAACCAATGTAATGAATTAACTCAGAGCCTCCAGGTGACCAGACGCTAAATAACATTCAAGTTGTCTGTGATTGTTAAGTTCAGTGCAGATTGTTCACCGTGAAGGTTTGCTCTGTTTCTAGCAAGCACATAATGCAGCCAAGCAACCTCCCTAGTTGTAACCTAGAGTTCAAGGGAAGGTAAGTTTTTCTTTGCAAATGCCAAAAGGATTATTCTGTTTGTGTCATTTTTCCTGAGTACATATTTACTTTATTGCAACCAAAATCTTTCTCTTAAAAAGTAAGTCACAGAAAGGATATTAATGTTTTCACTGCACACAAGATAACAGTTGCTAATAACGGTAGGTAAAGAGGATGATACTTGGTTCTAAGGTTTCTTCAAGAGCTTGATTTCAAATTAACAAGCCTATTCTCTGTTTCGGAAGAAACACATGTCATTTCAGAAACAGTTTCTTCAACATCTCTTCTACAAACTCCCCTGGCAACCAAAGCAGTAAGCTAAGGTATCTGTTGATATTTCAACTGCCGGTAATATAAATAAAAACATTTTCTATATAATTTATTGTTCCTTTTAAATCTGGATTGAATTATATTGGTCACAATGGCCAGTTAAAAGAATTTTAAAAATCATTCAATTAGATCCGAGAACAGTTATGGCTGGTTGGGGTCCTCACGTGTGGCCTTGGGTTCCTCACGTGTGCACAATCTTTCTGGTTCATTTTTCAGTTTGTTTAGCCTGTGGATAATTGCAGCATCTTTGTAACGTGTTCTATTTTCGATTACTGCCACGCATTTCTAAGTGTGTATCTATCTTAATATCAGTCTTTCTCTAAGTAGTTCACATGTGAATGCAAACAAGAAATCCAGGGAAAATAATTTCTTTGTAGAGTATGTATTTCTAATCACAGCTCATACACGCACATATAATTGAACAATGACATCGATGGCAGATTCACTGGTCTGTTCTTACTGGTTCGTGACACTCTGGCACAACATAAGGCAACCACATCATTACACCCAGCTACGACGAGCTAACACAGAACTCCGGGTAACCGAAGTAGAAGAATTAAGTAACCAAAGTAGAACAAAACACATCCATCACTCTGATGAGTAGATCTAACGCGAAAGATAATTTTTGAACATAAAGCTAGAAGTCTAACAATAATTTTCACCATTTTTAATGACTGAAGTTTGTCAACAGTTAAATGATATAATCTACTTCAAAGTGACTTATAAATGCAAAACATATATGAAAAGCCCCCTCAAAGTCTTTTGGCGGTTTTTTTTGTTTGTTGTTTTTTTCCCCCAGAAATGATCATCACATCCCGTTATTTCAATGGCAACAAAATCTATATGTGCAAAATCAAAATTGTCATTCAATATCTTCCTTGTTCAAAGTACATGGGACTTTAATTCTTCAAAGGAGGAACTGGAAGGAAACATTATTCCTTTCACGCAGTAAAAAACCCCAACAAAAGACACATGTTCCTCTTGGCGTCAAAATCTCTGAAATTGCAATAATGATTTTCAATATACCTGTAACATATTGCTATACCTGATGATTTTACCATCATTTTACAAGGTGAAACCAGAGACAGGTTAGTTAACTTGCCCATGTGAAGCTGCACTTACCCACTGCACTTCCAAGATGAGCGCTCTGCAGCATGGCAAGACCCCCTGTCCGGCCCAACTGCATCCATGTACCCCACCTGACCTAGGGGCACACCAGACACCAATACCAGGCTAACCTGACTGCTCCTAGTCTTCCCTGAAACAGCCTCGACGCAGTCTGCTGCAAGGACAGATGGCACGTGCAGACAGCCTTAGTTCAGACTGCACGAGACACAATGCACGGAGCTGGGTCTTGCTCCAGGCCTGGCAGCTGGCTGGACCTGCCAGGTAAACAAGTCCAACTCATTTCCGACTGGACCGTGTCTTCAGTGACTCAAGACGAAGACCATCTATCTCATAACCGGACAGAACTGCCTGAAGCGTAGCCGGCCATGGCTCTTCAAGGGGCAGAAGTGCAATTCTAGAGGTTCTACTGAAGTAAAATTTAAGTCTTCCCAACCTAAGACCAGATTTCTTTGTGGATGCTGCCCAAGATACACTAAAGCTTCCTGGCTTTGAGATCCAAAGCTTGATGGCTCTTCTGTTATTTCTGAGAGACAGAGTGGAGTTCATTAGAAGGGAGAGCCAGAATTCACAAGCATTGTTTGCCTCATTCCCCTGCAGTAACAAAATAAAGCATCTAAGTTGATGTTGGCGACAGTAAGATGGAATACATTTAACACTATATTCAATAACCTACAACTGACCGATGGAGTTCCAGAACATCTTTCAAGGATCACGAAGATCAAAGGGAATTATTCTGTGATAGATCAGTAAAGATGCATTTCAACTGAAGAACTGAGTGAAAACCTCTGCCTTTTGACTACGGCCTGCTAATGCACAGAAGGTGCCCATTGAGTGGAACAGAGGGTGAGATGATCTCATGTCTGGGACTTGAAGCCAGCAACAGAAACAAAACCTCTTTACCAAGAAAAAAAAAAGATAAATTTCTTCGTAAGATTAGCTGCTTATCTTATTATGTAAAGTAATACAAAGAGTACAAAGTCTAAAGTCTACAGTTGAAGAGCTGAACATTTATTTTTGCTTTCCAGTCAGACGTAAGATAGCACTTAACAGATATGGTATTTAAGAAAACTTCAGTTTTGCAAAGACTGTATTTTTACTAAGTCCAAAACTTTAACACTGGCATAATTTAGAGATTTTTTCAACCAAGAAAACACAAACAAATTCACTGTCTCAAAAGCCTGACATAAGGAAGCCCAACTGTACCCATTTCACAGATTTTTTTTTTTTTTAATTTTTATTTTTAAACAGAAATCAGTAAGTGACTCATCCAAAGGTTTAAAAAAAACTATATGTCAGTGCTGGAATCACATGGTAATTTTTAGGTTTGAAGAACACCGGTCTATACTCAGACATTAACTAGTTCTTCTCTTCTGCATAACTCCGGGTAAGTTGTGAGAAATAACTTGCAAGCAAACAAGCCCATATTTTTAGAAACCTTTCTTTAAAAGCAGACCATCACTTGCAATCACTGAAACAAGCAACAACAGAGCTGAGTTCCTGGACGTGAAACTTGTGCTTGACTCACAGGCCAATGGAGTTTAGCTGTATTTTATATTAGACCTTCTAGAACCCAAGTCAATCTAATTCTTACTATTGTAGTATCCTACAATGGCCAGTTCTGGAGCATCTTTTCAAGAAGTGCCTGGTTTATGATCACACTATTACTGCAAGAGCACTGGCTTGATGCCTTCAGATGGGTAAGAAATTTGAAATGCTATGATCTCAGGCTTACGTTTGCAGTATTAGTCAGAATTAATGTGAGAAATGTAAGATGTTCAGTAGGAAAATGAGCACTGAGCTAGGTTCTACTCTTTAAGAAACAATTCATAGATAATTGTCTAAGGATAACCTTGTGAAAGTGGTACATATTCTGATGTTAATGGAAAATATCTTCAGAAATGTCTCACATCTAGCATTGTTTTCAGTGGGTTATATTATGCAATACTCTATATATAGTAACTTGCTGACTTCTACTTTGCTCAGACAGCTTAGTGTCTGCTTCTGTGTTGCCAGCTGAAATGACTTTCAAAATGAAATATGGAGATGTGAAATTAATACAGGACTATACCAGAGGTGATGGTCAAATTGATAAGCAAAAAAATACATTTTAAACACTGATAGCTAATCGTTGTCTAAAAACAGTAAGGAGGCTTTGAAACACCAACAAACTTCTTTTCAACTTTTATCACAGGAGATTATTTTTTGCATATTATACCCTAGTTAAACATGAACTTAACTGTATCCTTAAAGTCTTTGTCTTGCTTATTACCTGTTACTTAGTAAGAGGTGACTGTTTTGTCAGTGTCTAGTGTGATGTAAAACCAGCAAAACAGAATATAGTGATCAGGAGAGTGTGCTCAAAGACAGTGGCTGACTTTCTCAAGGCTGTAAGAAGCTATTATTCCTTGGCAAATCCAGGCTAGACTCTAGAGAGAGCCAAGAGAAAACTTATCCAGGACCGTAACAGTAGTAACCGTACTGTGTCAAGGGCTACAGAGCCTTGTGTACAATGCCGTTAAATAAAGCTTTAGAAATATTGTAAGTCACT